GAGAGCAAATTGGCAGCAAATCCGCAGCAAGCCTTGCACTTAATCAGCTGAGCGAGATGAACGCGATGTACATTGGATTTTGAATAGTTCTTAACCTATATATTGCGATATTTTGATTGCAATTTTGCATTTAAAAAGAGAAAGATGTATATATATATATAAATAAATATTTGACAAGACAGAATGTGTGATTTATTATATATATCGGGTGTTTCAGACCACCCGGGTCACCCGATTTTTTCGTTAACGTGACATTTTAGAGAAAAATATTTTAGATAAAAGTTGCAGGGTTTCAAAGGATCTATTTACTAACGCTATGAATTTGACCTTGGGATAACCTTGAAAAATCCAGTCAAGATCAACATAAAAATCTAAAACGGAAACCGCGACTTTTTATTATACCGTCTTTTTCCACCAATTAATTTGAACAACTTTTGTCTAAAATATTTTTTCATTTGCCTAATATTTTTCTAGATATTGAAGGAAAACTTGATAACTTTTTCAATATTTAACTTACGATATTTCGCTAACTAGTTGTCAAAAGAAAAAGCGGTACTAGACCTTTTTGCTCTATTTAGTCTGAAGAATATAATTTTACAATAGCACCTTGACTTTTGTTAACTTGCTGATTTTTAGAAATTTCGAAATCATAAAATTAACCAAATTCAGGGCGCTATTGGAACAATATATTCTTGAGACTAAATAGAGCAAAAAGGTCTAGTACTGCTTTTTCTTTTGACAAATAGTTAGCGAGATATCGTAAGTTAAATATTAAAAAAGTTACCAAGTTTTCTTTAAATATCTAAAAAAATATTAGGTAAATAAAAAATGTTTCAAACAAAAGTAGTTCAAATTAATTGCTAGAAAAAGATGATGTAATAAAAAATTGGGGTATCCATTTAAGATTTTTATGTTGATCTTGACTGCACTTTCCAAGGTTATGTCAAGGTCAAATTCATAGCGTCAGTAACTAGATCCTTTGAAGCCCTACAATTTTTGTCTGAAATATTTTTCTCTAAAATATCGCATTAACGAAAAAATCGGGAGACCCGGGTAATCTGAAACACCCGTATACAGTGAATCCCGAACGTAACGACCACTCTAATAACTCTTGAAGTATTGAAGTTTCAAGGAAAATGATCTGAATAAAAGTTGTAGGGATTTAAGTGAGCTACCTTATGATGACTTTGACCTTGAGCTCTATTTTCAAAGTCATTTGAAGGTCAACTTGTTTTTCAAATAGAAACCCCTATTTTTGACCTCGTATTCTGAAAGAGCGCAAAATTTTACGTTCAGATATGTATCTTTATGGGGGGTCGAAATGAAATGTAGAGGTTATTTGAAGGTCAAATATGTTATTGGTACGAAGTAGCTGGTAGATCGTGATTTTTATGAAATATAACCCGAATAAAAGTTATTGGGATCAAAGAGGGCCATAAGCTGGTGACCTTTATTTTGACCTTGACCTCCATTTTCAAGGTCATTTAAAGGTCAACTCGTATTTTTTAAATAGTCACCCCTATTTTTTATCCCGGATTTTGAAGAGCGTGTTTAGGTTGTTGAGCATTCAGGTTGTTGTCAAGGCAAGGTTGAGGGTCATTCAAAGGACAAATAATGATTTGACCTGGAGAGCAGCTGGAGTGCAGTAACAGAATACGTTGCCAATGTTCACTTGATTGAATAAAATATTAGGTAACTATTGCCTGCATAGCAGGCTGGATTTTCAGACCCCATGTGATCCAGCTACTGAAGGCAAGATCATAATGATCCAAGGTCTAAGTAGCTTCCAAAATTAGAACATCGTCGAAAAAAATCGTTTTTAATGTAATTTCTAAATTCATCAGAATTATTCGGACTTGTCTCATAGACTGTACTGTTCAGATAATCCCGCAAAAAATATTCAAGCTTTTAGATCGTGTAATCAACTGAGCTGCCGATTCTATCACTTCTCCTATGGGCTTCTGGTGCTAGTGTTACCTAGTTCAATAATTAATAATAGTTAATAATTATTTTCATGTGCAGGATTGGTCAAAGAATACAGGAAAAATTTTTTTTTAAATATTTCACTTATATTTTTTTGAAAAATAATTTTTTTTGTCACTTTGCATATCTGCAAAACTAGCGTAGACTGGTGGCCAATTCTTTTTTCCCGCTTAGAGCCGCGTCTATTCAAATAAGCAAATAAGCAATCGGCAATGTTAAACTCTGACTGACAGCAGAGAAAATCCAGTTCAAACTCTGCTTTGCAGATATGCAAAGCAGCGCAATGAAGGGTTAATGATGCGAGGTTAGGGTGACCTTCAACGTTCTTACTCGCAAACTCGAACAATATTTAATCAAACGTTCCGAGATAATAGTCAGCCGTTAATTTCTAGATTTACAGTCATTCGAACTGTGCAGCGATATAAAACTACTGGTGGAGTAAAAGATCGTCAGAGATCTGGACGGCCTAAATCAGTTACAAATGAGGAGAGTCAGATAGGAGGTTGCCATAATTGTTCGTGACTTTCTTAATAATCAGTTTCATTGTCGATGGATTAGAAAAGGTGAAATCGAATGGCCTCCTTGGTCCGCAGATCTATCACTTCTTGACTATTTCATGTGGGGTTATCTGAAGAGTAGAATCTATGAAATAAAGCTAAATAATTTATATGAACTCCGAGGTCGTATTATCCGAGAGTGTACCTCGATGGACCAAGATATAATAAGAAGATCTGTTTCTGATTTTTATCAACGCATGGCATATTGTCAAGAGGGGAGGTTTTCAATTTGAACATTTAAACCATTAGTTTTCCATTCACACATAAGTGAGGATCCAATCCCAGAAGCGACCTCCATCTTGCATCCATTGACCGAATGACATAAATCTTGCCTTCAGTGACTGGATCATTACGATCTTGCCTTCAGTGGCTGGATCATTACGATCTTGCCTTCAGTAGCTGGATCACATGGGGTCTGAAAATCCAGCCTGCTATGCAGGCAATAGTTACCTAATATTTTATTCAATCAAGTGAACATTGGCAACGTATTCTGTTACTGCACTCCAGCTGCTCTCCAGGTCAAATCATTATTTGTCCTTTGAATGACCCTCAACCTTGCCTTGACAACAACCTGAATGCTCAACAACCTAAACACGCTCTTCAGAATCCGGGATAAAAAATAGGGGTGACTATTTAAAAAATACGAGTTGACCTTTAAATGATCTTGAAAATGGAGGTCAAGGTCAAAATAAAGGTCACCAGCTTATGGCCCTCTTTGATCCCAATAACTTTTATTCGGATTATATTTCATAAAAATCACGATCTACCAGCTACTTCGTACCAATAACATATTTGACCTTCAAATAACCTCTACATTTCATTTCGACCCCCCATAAAGATACATATCTGAACGTAAAATTTTGCGCTCTTTCAGAATACGAGGTCAAAAATAGGGGTTTCTATTTGAAAAACAAGTTGACCTTCAAATGACTTTGAAAATAGAGCTCAAGGTCAAAGTCATCATAAGGTAGCTCACTTAAATCCCTACAACTTTTATTCAGATCATTTTCCTTGAAACTTCATTACTGAAGAGTTATTTGGGGTGGGATATTAAAATGGGACATCCTGTATATGATTTTATATAAATATAATGTTTTCATATTTATATAATCTATTTCGTTCGGACAATAAGAAAAAAAGTTATAAGTGTTTCTGTTTTTCTATAAATTAACTGATATAAGTAACTACTAACTTGATTAAATATGATGAATATAAATATAATTTAAAGCCCTCATAAGAGATACAACTCAAACATATTACATGATTTAATATAAGACAAAATTGCTATAAAATTTCTGTACAGAATGTTCGGTAATTAGCTGCCAATCCAAAATGTGAATGTAGATTGGGTTAAGCTTAAAAGAAAAGTAAAATATAATTTTGCAAGAATCGCAATAATTATCGAATTATTAATGACAAAAATCTGAGTAGTGGGAGTGCGCTGACATAGATGATTGGAGAAGCGTTGCAGCTGCTCGGGCTACAGCACGGCCCAGTTGACCAAATAATTGTTGTCAGTGTGCGGCGACAGGGAAGACAACGAGTCGCTATTCGTGTTTTATCTCGCCGCACCTACGTCTTGCCGCATGCCGCCAATAGTTGGTGGTCGACTGGGCCGCACAATGGCCCAAGAGGTTGCGTCGTTTCTCCAATCACCCTTCTTGGCGCGCGCCTATTCGTCAAATTTCTGTCATTACTAATTTGATAATTATTGTGATTTTTGCAAAATTGTATTTTACATTTCATTTCAGTTTAACCCAATCTACCTTCATACTTCGGGTTGGCAGCTAATTACCGAACACCTTGTATATAGGGTGTCTCATAACTAATGTTGCAGAGCTCGTGATGAAAACATAAAGCGGGTTAAGTCAAATATAAAAGTCCCATATCGTTTTGCGAGAATCGCAATAACTATCGAGTTGTTAATGACAGAAATTTGGAGTGTCCACTCCAATGACAGAGGAGTGGGAGCGTGCCGACATAGATGATTGGAGAAACGTTGCAGCTGCTCAAGCCACAGCGCAGTCCAGTCGATTCAGAAACTGTTGCCAGCGCGCGGCGAGGGGAAGAACAACGCGCCGCTATTCGTTGTTTTATTTCGCCGCACCTATGTCTCGCCGCACGCCGTCAACAGTTGCTGGGCCGACTGGGCCGCGTTGTAACCCGAGAAGCTGCGACGCTTCTCCAATCATTTATCTCAGCGCGCATTCATTCGTCAGATGTCCATAATTAATAACTCGATAATAATTGCGAATCTCGCAAAACGATATGGGTACTTTTATGTTTGTCTTAACCCAATCTACCTTCACACTTCGGGTTGGCAACTAATTACCGGACACCCTGTATTATTTCGAATATTTTGTATATTACATATCGAAAGATATTTGAAAAACTATTTATATAATACAATGTTATACTTTTGTAACATGCAATGTAGCGCTTTGCAGTATTTTTGCTTACCTTTTAAAAGTGGTACTAACCGACCCCAGCACGTTATAGCCCCTTTTCTATTAAACTGGCCAAGTGCGAGTTCCATGTAAAACAGAGGTATACCACCAACTATCAGCATTATGCAGTAGGGAACCAAAAATGCTCCTGTGGACAGAGACATGAGCAATCTAATAGATTTACAATAAATCAGAAGCCATATATCATAACGATTATTAAAAGTTTCAATAATTCTTACATTGTAGTCGATTACATCATGTCTTTAATGTAATATGGTTCTATTTGATTATCATGAACGATTTCAATCTCTTAACGGTAAGTAGATTAAAAAAAATCCGATTATTCTTCCATCTAATAATCTAGCGAGTTGTCTAGAGAAAAGGATGGAGAGTTCCAGCAGGCAATTCCAATATCTTGAAACAAAAGCCTATTGTGTGACCAAAGCGGGATCACCAGTTATTACGTATCCTCCCAAGTGAATAAAAGAGGGAAAAGATGGGGGAAAAGTATCGATTAAATTATGGAAGAAGAGGACAAAAGGAAAATAAAAAATAAATAAATTAGAATACGGAAAGTTGATAAATAGTAAGAAGTATATATGCAGGATGTTTTAGAAATAGGTGGCCAAGCTTTAAAAGCAAATTTTACTCATTGTAAGAATAAAAATAATCATATCATACTTCCAGAAATGCTTCTTTTTCAAATTATAAACACTTTTTATCCGTAATAGATTTTGTAAAAACATGGAATAAGTTGCCATTTTAACATCTTAACTTTTAAACTTTTAAGTAAAAACTAATTCCAATTCCAAACAGACTCATTTGCTAACTTATTTGGTTCTAACAGAAGGTGAGTAAAGGATAATGATTAGGAAATATGTTGTTCGTAAATACAAAGTGTTTATAACTTGGAAAAGAAGTCGAATCCATGTTCATATAATTTTTTTCATTCTTAAAATAAATAGGATATGCTTTTAAAATTTCGTCTCCTATTTCTGAAACACTTTGTATAGCGACCAAAAATTAAAATAGATAACTTATTATTCCATAGTATGTTTTTGTTAGATATATGTACATTTCTTTAAATTTGTGATTAATTTTTTTGTATTATGTGTTATCAATTTCATATCCAAGCATCATAAATGTACGATTTTATAATTGCTGAATATATTATGTAAGATTACATTTCATGCAGAATAACTAGAAATTGTTTAATAATATTTTGTTAATAATGTTACTTAACAATGTAACATAACATGTTTCTTTTAATTAAACAGGAAACGTATCGACATTTTTGCATAATAATTATTATACATTTCTGTGTAATAAGTTGTATTATAAAAATATTTGCAATTTGTACAATAATTTTTATTTATTGTAATATAATTTAATTTAAACGAAAGGTAAATATTTACCTTTATGAACCCTCCGCCAATGACCTTGACTTTGTTATATGTTATTGAGGATACTCTCTTGAGTAACATTTAAAAACTAAACTAAACTAAAATTAAAAACATTTAGTTGTCGTTCGTCATTTGTTAAAAAATTATTAACAAAAAAGTTTCGGTAAATATATAGAATATTGGCATATCCGCTCTAATTTCTTTGATCTTCACATATGTTATCAAAAATATGTTCCAGAGTAACTTCCTCCAAGTTTTAAATAGCGGTCATCTTTTATAAAAAAAGTTACCAACAAAAGAAGTTTGAGGAAATAAACATACCTGTGAGCAGCAAGTGGAATATATTTCTTAAATCTTCCGCCTTGTTCGTAACTCTTTTATAAAAGGTGACCTCTACCTAAAACTTGCAGGAGGTTACTCTGGAATACAGTACATATGAGCTCTTCAAAAAAATCCTAACTTAATCTAATTTATTGCATCTTTATATATTGTTGCACGTTGTTGAAAAGATTAAAACCTTTAAAATTCACGCCCAAGTATATAAAGATGTAATAAGTTAGGTTAGGTTAAATTTTTTTTAGAGGGGGTGCGGAAGAAAGGCTCCGCTTATATGTACCGTTTAAAATTTTTTAATGTATATTCGAGATTTAATATACGTTCAAGATGTATTGAATATACAAGCAACATTTATTATATTTATAAGCAGTACATGTCTTTGAGAATGGGAAGCCTTTCCTCTCCTCTGCTCACATATGTGTGTATAAAGTTTACCGTGCGTACATGTATATTGTGTCGAAAAATTACGTTCCACTAATGAAATGTTTTTTGTTAATAACTTTTTAACAAATGACGAGCGACGACTAAAACCTCTTGAATTTTATTCAAAAGGGTGTTCTCGATAACATATGACAAGATCAAAGTCATTGGCGGAGGATACGTAAAGATAAATGTTTATCAAATGAGATTTGTTGATGCATATGTGATCTAAAATTCAGTAAACTATAATTAACGTTCGGCTATATGAATATTCGGCGACGATTAATTTTAGGCAACGCGATTTTACTGACAAGACTAGAAAAGATCTTACCCTAAAAAATACATAATTACAAAAATCGAATTTTAGTTTCATTCCCCACGAAAGTTTCATAAAAAAAAAATACAATATATTCTACAGAATTCGTTTATTTGTCTTAATATCGAGAACTCGTCTACAAAATATTATATAATCTGATTTCCAGACTTTTTTGAAAACCATAACACGTTTTTGAAAAAACACTAATTTATAGTTCCTGCCGGTTTGACAATTGACTCACTAATGTCAACGTATTAATGCTACCTCGCCACATTTTCGAAACTTGACTATCGAATTACGTGCCTAAAAGCTTTGGTTTTACCTCGCTACCGGTGCCCTAAATAACGCACAATGCAGTTATGGAACTAAACCACTGGTATAAGTGCATTACGTATCACATTTTTTCATGGATTTCTTTCCAAGCATATATGTGCAAACATATATGTGTCCGCGCACGCGTACATGTGATACAGTTTTTTTATTTATATAGGGTGTCCTATTTTAAAAAACGCACCTCGATAATTCTTCAACGAAGTATTTTCAGAAAAAATGTTTCGAACAAAAGTTGTATGATTTCAAGGGGGACATAAAACAATTATACTATTTTGTTTACAAATGGCATCACTTTCTAAATATTCACTGGTCATTATTTTTCTTAAATGGAAATCCCAATTTTTTATTACATCGTCTTTTTCTACCAATTAATTTAAACAACTCTTGTCTGAAACATTTTTTTATTTGCCTAATATTTTTTTAGATATTTAAGGAAAATTTGATAACTTTTTCAATATTAACTCACGATATTTCGTTAACTATTTGACAAAAGAAAAAGTGGTACTAGATTTTTCTGCTCTCAAGAATATTTAAGATTTAATCTCAAGAATATATTGTTATAATAGTGTCCTGACTTTTATTAACTTACTGACTTTTGGAAATTTCAAAATCATCAAATTAACAAAAGTCAGGGCGCTATTGTAACAATATATTCTTGAGACCAAGTAGAGCAAAAAAGTCTAGTATCACTTTTCTTCCGACAAGTAGTTAACGAAATATCGTGAGTTAAATATTGAAAAAATTATCAAGTTTTCCTTAAATATCGCAAAAAATATTAGGTGCGCAACTAAGTTCCCGCTGTTTTTCAAGAGATGGCTCCAGTAGTAAGTGCTGGTCGATTGTGACATAACCAAAACGTCATGAACCAAGCTTAGACATATGGTAAACAAACCGCTTTGACACATTAGTGATTTTGTTTTTACGTCATATACTTTTGGTTGTGTGAAAATGTCTGATTTTGTGCCAAATAATCGTCATTTGCGGGAAGTGTTGCTTTTCTTCTTTCATTCGAAGAAAACGGCGGCTGAAGCGCATCGAGAACTCCAAAAAGTTTACGGAGATGCTGCTCTAAGTGAAACAACGTGCCGTGATTGGTTCCGTCGCTTCAAAGACGGTGATTTCGATGTTGACGACCGTTCGCGTGAAGGAAGGCCAAAAACCTTCGAAGACGCTGAATTGGAGGCATTGCTCGATGAGGATCCGTGCCAAACGCAAAAAGAGCTTGCTTCAGCATTAGGAGTTACCCGCCAAGCCATTTCCAAGCGATTGCATGCGTTGGGAATGATTCAAAAACAAGGAACTTGGGTTCCTTATGATTTGAAGCCAAGAGACGTTGAGCGTCGTTTTTTCGCCTGTGAACAACTGCTCCAGCGGCAAAAAAGGAAAGGTTTTCTTCATCGCATCGTTACGGATGATGAAAAATGGATTCATTACAGCAACCCAAAGAGAACAAAATCATGGGGACTGCCCGGTCATGCTTGTACGTCGTCGGCTCGGCCGAATATTCACGCTGCGAAGGTTTTCTGTGTATTTGGTGGGACCAGGGCGGTGTTATTTATTATGAGCTGTTGAAACCGAACGAAACCATCACTGGGGAACGGTATCGAACTCAATTGATGCGATTGAGCCGAGCACTGCGCTAAAAGCGGCCACAATACGAGCAGAGACACGAAAAAGTGATTCTACAGCATGACAACGCTCGGCCTCACGTTGCCAAACCCGTTAAAACCTACTTAGAAACGCTCAAATGGGAAGTCCTGCCCCACCCGCCATATTCCCCAGATATTGCGCCGTCCGATTATTACTTGTTCCGTTCGATGGCACATGGTCTGGCTAATCAGCAGTTCCGCTCATATGAAGACATTTCAAAATGACTTGATTCGTGGATAGCCTCAAAAGACGAACACTTCTACCGTGACGGTATTCGAGCTCTGCCAGAAAGATGGGAAAAAGTTGTCACTAGCGATGGGCAATATTTTGAATGATTCATTTGTAACCATTTTTTCACAATAAAGTTACATTTTCATCAAAAAAACAGCGAGAACTTAGTTGCGCACCTAATATTAGGCAAATAAAAAAATGTTTCAGACAAAAGTTGTTCAAATTAATTGGTAAAAAAAAGACGGTATAATAAAAAATTGAGGTTTTCATTTAAGAAAAGTAATGATCAGTGAATATCTCGAAAATAGTGCCATTTGTAAACAAAATAATATAGTTGTTTTAAGTCCCCCTTGAAATCATACAACTTTTGTCTAAAACATTTTTGCTGAAAATGCTTCATTGAAGAATTATCGAGGTGCGTTTTTTAAAATGGGACCTGTATACTGTACCTGCTTTCTT